AAAAATGCTGAATTTTAGCCTGGAAGTTCGCTGTACCCGTACAAAGTTGTGAGTTGTCGGAGGCCCAATGTGAGTGCTGTTTTGCAAGTGTTCACACCAAATTCATACCATCACAGCGTTGGTTCACCAGTGTTACTCATCAACAAATCATTCGCAGCGTTACTTCACTTGTCCGAGAATGAAGAAGTTAGTACATTTTTCAGACGCATTCGAGAAATTTTCCTGAAAAATAATCATAAGAAATTATCTGTTACGTTCCTAGATCCATTATTATCTTAATTATTTTCTCTGTTATCATCATTATTACCGTTACATTATTATTACAAATATAATTAGTGTTGGCAATAGAAACGAATTGTGTAACGCAACAAAAAGAAAGTTTCGAGCCCTCGAACATCCTTAGCAGATTTAGAAAGAAAAAAAAATTGAACACAGCATTTTTCGAAAATAAGCTTATTCTGATGTTTTATTAAGAGTGAAAAAAAAACTGCCTATTTGAAAGGATAGCAACGCGCACCAGACTAGCCGGTGCGATCATGCGTTTTGTGCAATTCAGCCCATCGAACGATTTTCACTGCTTTGTACTTTAGTCTATGCAAAAATACTTCAAACATTGGAAAATAGTAAAAAATTTCACGAACCAGCGCGTGAAAGCCGAATTCGAAACTTTGAAGGGTGAATATCTTTCTGTGATTCCCGAGTTGATAGTTTACCCGCCAAAATTTTCACGGGGCCGCACGTGTTACCCGCGAGTACGGGAAGGCTGAATTTGAATGGCAAAGTTGAGCGTGCGCAGGGGGTCATCACCCTAAAATTTCAGCTTCCTGAACTCCGTGGTTCCCGAGATATTAATTTACCCGTAAAAAACTTTCACGGGGCCGTGTGTGTTACCCGTGGGTACGGGGAAGCTGAATTTAAATTTGCGGGGTCACACGTGGGTGGAGAACGTTCCCCTAAATTTTCAGCTTCCTAGCTTTTGTGGTTTCCAAGTTGAAAGTTGCGGACAAGTTGCTACGGACACATACACACAAATACACAGAAAACCCCGTGACAATATGCGTTTTATACTGCTGTTACACAGCACAAAACGCATAAAAACCCGATTATCCGGAGAAGCGAAGAGAATAAAGCTAACTGCAGGAATGCAAAATTGATTGGTTAACTTTGTTTGCTTTAAGGTGATCCTGTTGAAGCTGGATGATGTGCCATTATGCCGTTCGTTTGAAGTGGAAGTGGATTCGCCGCTGCACTGGGATAATATTGTAATTTTTTTCTTAAGAATTCTTCGAATTGAGCATTCTGACGATGCTAAACCGGTCGTAGTATTTTTAAAAGCACAAATTGTTATTTGGAAGCTTTTACCGTAAGTTATTTTTGGCGTATTTTGGCAACGATGATTTTGCGAGATTAACGGTTTCTAAAATCACACGTTTGGCGGAATTAGCCGCGTTCTCACCTCACTTCCTAAGCAGGCCTTTAAAAAAATCCATGGCTCCTTCATTGTTCTTGAAACTCGGTGTTAAAAAAGCTGTGCCTTGGAACACAGTTGCTTTTTTCTGATCATCTTAAGATGCCAGATTGGGCATGAGATTTCAGTCCTGAATTACTTTATTTGAATGCTTTCTCCAACTAAGAATGCATTTATTTTTATTTTTTTCTGGGACATAAAGTGTTAAAAATATCCATAGCTGTGACAAATTTTATCTGAAATCGAAAAATTTAGTTATAGAGACGCAAAATTAAGCCACACGAGCTCTAAATCATATCACCGGGCGCAAAGTTCGGCTACAGAGAAGTCGATGTCTGTTCAAAAATGTTAAATCGCTCAAAAATGAGTAAATCAATCTAAAAATGCTGTAGAAAATGGGCTAAGGAATGTCAGAGAGAGGGCTTTCGGTGAGATACTCCGTAGCGGGGATTCATTACTCTACTGCTGTTATGTTAATCATTATTTTATGGGAGTTCCATTTTTCTTTTTTTTGGTTTGAAGTAATAATTCTGGAATTTAGCTATGTTCGATGCCAGAAATTGAAGACTCGCTGTTGCAACAGATCCAGCTTATCAGCGTTGGCCAAGCATTCCCAATTCATATCGCATTAGCTGATCCTGTTCGCGTCACTGTTGGTACGAATTGTATTGAAAAAAGAAAAATTGTAAAGAAAATAGATTTAGTGGAAGTAGTTAAATGAGTTATGGGAATAAATTTGTTTGGCAAAGAGGAATGAAATGAGATAGTTGAAGCAGTTTAGAGATGCAGTCAGCCTAGGCGGATTTAGGGGGAGGGGGGAGGGGAGGGCGATGCTACAAAAGTCCGGGTTTAAAGCTAAAACTGAAGAAAACTCTCTTCCGCATCCATTCCGCCGGTCGCCGCACCGGGAGACCCATTTCCTCCTCCACCTGGAATCCGGCCTGGATCCGCTTATGGTAGTCAGCGACAAAGAGAGGAAATTAAGTGCAACAAAGTAACTTGTGAAGAATCATAAGAGAAAAGGACAAAGATAGTTTAAGTGTTCATGCTCGGACTGTCAGTGTGGGTATCGCCTGTTATTGGTGCTGCTAGGATGCTCCCAAATGCCGAGCACAGCTATGCCAGGTCCTTCGATCCTAAGCTGCATATCTCCAGCTATCAACCATTGCCTGTTTTACGGTTATGCACCGCCTTTTCAAGGATCATCCGAGTGGTCACTTACTTTCACGTGAGTGCCACTTACTAATGCACATTGTCCACGATCGTCGGCAAACCAAGCTCCATGTCCTGTCCATCGGATTTTACTTTCTCGTGCGATGGCAGTGATATCTTACGCGCCATTCTTCTGACGGAGAATTTAATTGTTTCTACGGTCGCGAAGAGATACACCAAGCATTCTTCCCCTCATCACTCTGCCAGTGCTCACTCCTCGGCTTTTTTGTGTGACCTTAACTGACCGTACGAGAAATAAGACTTCTTATTGAAGCTCATAGATCGGTGCAGGAGATTTATCTGCTTATATGGTGATGCTTCACTGAAGGGAGTAGGGAGGGCTGAGTTGATCACACGCAGGATGATTTTTATCTTGCATCTTTGTTCACACAAATGGGACTGAGTAATTTGATCTTAATTTTTGATCTTAATTTTTTGATCTTAATTTTGATCTTAATTTTGGAAATTTTTGATCTTAATTTTTTAATCTGCAGTTAACACTGACGCACAAAAATTTCATCACGCTAATGGGTTCTTTTAAGTTAACCGTTAAAAGTAATATGCGAGCTCCCTCGGCGGACTGAAGAAAGCGTAATACTAGACAATGAGAAGCGAGCTGATAAGCCGTTCAACAAACAAGATGAACTTAGCATCGTAAAAAGCTAATACTGTTGAAGAGAAGGACCAGTCTATGAACCACAGCTGATCCAACTAAATATATATGTATGAGACAAGGGGCAAAACTCTGGTGGTTGTGTGCCTTTTTCTGAGTAAGCTACGGATCAGATCTTCCGGAGGCTGCTTTATAAATAATAAAATTAAGCAAAAAAAATTCCTGGTAAACCAAAAATTTTATAAAAACAGTAGATTTTAAGCAGTTGATATTTGAAAAGATGAAGAATTTCAGTTCGAATTGAAACACTATCATCGGAGGATCAGACGATGGCGTACATAAACGCGGACACTAAAGTGCTTGTGAAACCGTTCATACGCGAATTGGACCAGGGGAAAGATGAACCCCGGGAACAGCTACCCACTTCAGTTACCCGCGTTTTTGGAGAGCTATGCACCGATGCGACTGACACATCGTTCTCTGCCAGAATACGGCACTACTGTGGCGATGAGGGCACGAGTTTTACGGCAAGGATTCTGCCGGACGTGCTTCACGGGGATTTTCACGAGCACTCCTCCATTCCATTGGTCTATTCAGTGAAAAATTGTATGTTTCATGATCCATTTTTTGCATTTTTATTATTGACAAATCAGGTGTGTGATATCAAGTTGACGAGGTTTGCATGCGGGCACAAGTGGAGGAAGGGCGAAGGTTCGGCTTTGCAAGTAGGAAAGTCATTCCTCTGTACAAATTCTTTCATCCGTTCGGATGGTTTATTGGTATTCGGATGGTTCATCAGGAAATTGGACTTAAGTGTCGTGTATAAGAGGGGATGTTGGAACCAATAATACTGGCTTGCTTGTAAGTATCTCGCGGGAAAAAGTAGTTATCAGCAGTTGCGACGGGTTGTCGCTATTAGCATGTCCTATATTTCCAAGCACTTGCAAATACCTTTTTAAGGTTTTGGAGAAAATATGAAGAAAAAATGAAAGAGTTGTAAAGAATTATTAAAGTTGGTAAGAAATGTTTCGGTCCATTAAGTCGTATACATTTCTTGCCATTGCCACAGTTGGACCTCGTCAGTACGACGATTGTGGTAATAATATAGTTTAGTAAGGTGTAAGAATTAAATAGATGAAAAAGATGTAAATTGGGACAAATGAAAAGAGTAGAAGAATTGTAAGACTTTACCTTTCATAGAGGTGGAACTGTTGCAATCTTAACCTTGTGATTTTAACATGTGCAACCCACAGCATGAATCTGCCTTCGTGAAATCGAAATCACTTGAATTGCTCGCGGCTTGAGTCGCATTTATGCAAAAATGAGTACATCTGTGTGATTGTATTCACACAGGTTGTAAGGATCGTCGATAAACAGAAACTGAAAAATGATTTTCCATAATAATTAAATCTTCTATTTGTTGCATACGTTGTGAACAGGCCAGAAACGCGACGAGGTGAAAGTTTCAGTGACCCCGCAGCAGCTTATCAAAAAACGCATGCCGCGTCGTCCTCAGCTGTGTAAGCAGATTGCAGCATCCAGGTTGAGCTAAGACGTATATGACTTAATGGACCAAAACGTCCTAACTCTTATTCACTTATTTTTCCTACACAAGCTATATTTCTACACCTATACATAAACAGTTCGTTCTATTCATGACCTATTTAAGTTCTTAATATTACTCGTATGCTACAACCATGCAAAAATCAGCTTAACCCTGGGAGCGCAGATAACGAGGACGCGATGGAATTCAGAATGAAGGAGTAGTATAGGAGAGAAGGCAAGAGTGAGATAAGACGTTTTAGTCCATCAAGTCATATACGTTTTAACTCAACAACGCGACAAGACCTCGTCGGTAGACAGCCGCAGGGCTTAATAAGGAGAAGAATGGTGAAAAACGTTGTGATTGCGGGATTAAGGAGTGTAAATGAGGTGTAAGCTGTTGTTTCTCGTCCTCTGCATTCACTTGTTAGTATCCCTTTTTTACAGGCCAAAGCAGCTCACCGTCTTTCACAATTGTCAGCCTCAAAGACTACGAAACAAAGAAATCAACGTACGCCCTATCTGTTGATATACCTTCCGGATCTATGCATTTGAAGGCTGTAGCTGACTCTTTAAAGGTAAGCACTTTTTAGAGCTGAACAACTGAGAGCGGGGCAGGGTAGGAGAGACAAGGGGAGCAGGTGGAAGGGAAACAAAAAAAGAGTAGAAGAAAATAACCGTTATATTTCAGCGATATGCTGTACGCCACTGTCTCTTCTCTTCCTCACTGCGTGAAGTTTTTGGCAACTCGTACAAGTGGATTGAAATTTCACCTCTATCGAAGGACTGCGTTCGTCAGGTGGACACGCTGGAAGTATTCTCGAAGGTTGCTGCACTAACTTATTTTTTCAAATTTTCTTTACTAGCTCTGAATTAGAATAATTTTAAAAAAGATTTTCTGGCAGGTTATACTGTGTTGTCATTTTCCATGTGGTTTTTATGCGTTTTTTGCAGCAATGCAATGCGAAAAA